GGCGTCACATTACGCGTAATTCTAGACTTGAGATTTAGGCTTTACCTCGTCAGGTCTTTCGCCTTTTACCTTGTTGCGGGGTTTATTCCAACATTGGCTTTTACTTTCTAATATTCCATCATTTTTTGAAGGTTCTTGGTGAATATGCTATTTACAATACTTTATGATAATCATTAGGTCTAATAAATGAAATTGAACAATATAGTAAAATAAAAATACATCAAAAAAAAAAAAAAACAAAACAAAAAAATTTTTTAAAAAAAAAAAAAAAAAAACAAAAATAAAAAAATTTATTTTTTTTTTTTCTCTTTTATGAAGAAACTAAAATACTGCTACAACCGTATATATGAATACATATGGAATTGCAATTAGAAAACATTTATTAATTTCTATAGGATTGGTTGGTATCTCACAGCCTCGTTTTTCGCAGAACTGTTGGGTAACTGGATTCACCTAAGTTTCCTGATTCTTTCTCCTATAACTTCTTGAATCTCTTCTTCATCCATAAATCTTCTTCTCTCTTTCTAAAAATTTCATACTTTAATCATGCTATCACCATACAGCAATAGCAAACACTAATTTTTAGTTTCGGCTTTCCTGCTGATTCAGCTCACCTGTTGCTATCAACTATTCTTCTGCATTATATTGCAACTTGATTTAGCACTCCTTTATTGAAATTATAACAATCTAAATCTTACATTTAATAAAACATATAGATTCATCCTTGAATGGAATTTCCATAATGCTTCTAAGTTTCACTTGAATATTATTCCAACAGTAAACATGAATTCAAGAACTATTTTCTGTTTTCCTTCAAATAGCTGTAGAGTTTTGAAAAAAATGTCTTCCAATTCAGTAACAGTCGCAGAAATTCTCCCAAAAACCATGCAATTTTCTTCTGTTAGGCAGTAGTAGCTACTCTTGTTCTAAAAATCAATTAAAAATCAGTAGGAACATGCAGGAATCCTCTTTTACTCGTTCGAGTTCATAAACAGTGAAAATTTCCTCCGGACTTCAAATTCGATCCTTCTCACGTCATCATTTTCTCATGTTTCTCATACCTAGCGTATTTGTTCTGGTTCGACTCCCAGGCCAAACTGATGTTGAGGAGAAGGGAAATGGCTCATACTAGCTATGCTTTTACTGATAATATATATTATTTTAATCTATGCATTTCCATTATTCTTTTCTTCTCCATTTATTTCCCAGCCGTGGGTTAATAAGCATTTGCA